GTACCCATGGTCCGGGCCGCCTAATGGCCTCTCTCCCTTTGGCTAGCTCAATGGCTCATTTAGATATCTGCTTGGTTTATTATGTGAATAAGTCACGCCTGGCTTGTTACAACCCTCCAGGTTGCTGTTTCTGCTGTGTTGCTGAGATGTGTGGTGCTCAATTAGGCTGCCTGCCTGGCAGAGTTAACCCTTTACGCCAGATAAGCTGTTTTGTTTTTTTTTGTTATTGTTTTCACGAACCAGATGGGGTGCTACAGCAAGTGTCTGTGTGTTTATGCGCGTGTTTACGTGCGTGCGACCGCGTATAGGGGGCGTTCCAAGCAGGGATCAAAAGATCAATCCTAATACAGTGCTACCACGCTGACCTCTCAAATGTAATAAAGGCGCCATCTCTCACCCTGGGGTCCTATTCAGGAGCCTCCCACCACATGAACAAACCTGGTATCTTTAAATTAGCTGACTCTCTTGCCCTGCAGGTAATTGCATTAGTTTATCAATGTTCAACACAATTTATTACTTACTCAGGCACTAGAAAAATCCCGGTGTTGATGTCGCCTTGCGAGGGGCTTCGGGTGGTGAGCTCGTGTGGGTTTCTTTGCAAATAAAGAAGAGTAAACACGATGACGCCGAGAAGCGAGGCATTTGTTTCGCCACGTGGGTTTTATTCATACAGGTGATGTGTTACCATCAAAAGACGTGACGTCTGGACCAAATTAAAACTTCACATTTTCTTTTCATAAGCCTGATTTCACATGCAGCGCCCGTATTATTTATTGGTGTCCGTGAAAAAAAACGAGCTCTTCCCTCTCTTTTAATGCAACTATTGTCCAATCTTTCAGGGCCATAGCTCCAGTGCTTATTTTAAAACTTTATATGACAGCAGACTTATTTGCTTTAATAGGTGCTTAAATCAGATTGCCTTTCATTACATTAAAAACAATATTACTGTCTTTTTCTTCTCAATAGAGTCCTCTTGCTTCAGGCTGCTGTGCCTTCTACACATCTGTATGCATTATGGATCTGTCTGAGGTAATAAACAGACCCTGCTCTTATTCCTGCTTCCTGGTATCATTATTCCTTGCCCCTCAGATGGATTATAGCCCACTATGCAACATGTAGATGAGTGGCGCTCCTCTGATTGCCTTATGGCCATCAAGCTTTGCATATTTACTGCCCATGAATCACAGTGCACTCGACAAGCCCACAGAAACATATCCTGATCTTTCTCCCTCCTCCTCGTCCTTCTCGTCTCCTCACCCTCTGCTCCGTTTTCCATTTTCTCTGTCCCTCACTTTTATTCTTAGTTCCTTTTCCTCCATCGTCTTTCTCCCAACTCCTTCTCCGACTATTCTTTCATTGTCTCTCTTTCCCTATGCCTTGATCCTGCTCCGTGCATTCCCAGCTGCTTAATTAAAGCATGCATTATTGATACAGCTATATCTATCTCTTCCCTGTTCATACGACTGCTACATTAAGTGTAAATTGTTTCGCTGTAATTCCCACATAATGTTCCTGTTATAATCAGTGTTTCTGGTGCGTGGCAGCAGGGGGAGGACAGGAAAAGGGAGAGAGGATCATACAAGCTTTTACTGTAACTTACTGTTTGATGTGTGGCTTGCATACTGCCGGCCCACGATAATTAGGTCTGTTTTGCAAGTCAAATGTACAAGGCACCAATCTAGAAAATATGAGATTAATAAAAGAAGGTAGTAAGGCTTGTGTGAGTGCGATGGTTTCTGCTGAGCCTGAGGGAAAGAAAAGCACTCTTTAGCGCTTTATAGCATTTTTTTTTGTGTGTGTGAACAGTTTGGCATTGTCCTGTGAAAACTGAACTTAGTTCAAGTTTGAAGACATTTGCGATAATCTCCAATCCAATTTGACTGTCTTCCTGCAGATGGTAACTCTGTTGACTTGAAGCAAGAAGGTAATGGATTCACATCCTAGTCTGAAAGTTGCCCTGCAATAAAGTGGCAATCTGTCAAAGGTGTACTCCGCCTGTCACCCAATGACGACTGGAGACATGCAACCCCTCTGTGACCCAGCCAGGATAAGGACATATTTTACAACCTTACATCAAAGTCCTTGGTTTGAATCCAGGGTTTTTCTGAATGAAATGTGCTTGTTCTTTCTGTGCATGCATGTGACTGCAGTTTGAGACCTGAACCATCCCAGTGTAGCTCTGGCTGTGAGTCTTGGGTGATTGTCTGACTGCTTTCTCTGCTGAACTAAAGCTACCTCACAACATTATGCTACCATCTTCAAGCTTTTTATCTGTGTGAATGGCATATTTTGGATTGTGTCGCGTTCCTCTTGTAAGGGTTATTCATACAGACGCTGTGTTATTATCAAAGAATGTGACGTTCCAGCCAAATTAAAACTTCACGTTACTTTTCGTGAATCTAATTTCACACGCTGCTCCTGTATTATTTCTAGATGCCTGTGGAAAATTTCTCTTCATATGACTGCTTTATGTTGGTGTAAGCCAAAGTACAAAACATATACAGCACAAAGAGAGCAAAATAGCAATAGTAGCTTGTTAAATCATGTTTCTATCACTCGCTAGAAAGAATTGATGGAATAGAACTCTATAAAGCTTCAACCAGAAGATGTAAGTGACATTATCAGAACGAGAAGTTGGATATAATCCATAAAAGGCCCTTTTGTTTTTATTTCTTTACTAACAAATTATGTTGTTTAAACCATAGAATCAGGGGTTTTGCACCATTATCTCCAGTGGTTTCACAGTCGTCCACCGAACAGAACCAGCCTTCTTTATCAGGTTGTTGAGCATCTTTAAATCTCTGGATCTGATGCCACTACACCAACAGTAAACAACACAAGACAGTGCACTCTCCAGAACAGAAGATATGCAGCATCTTCATGCAAATCTCGAAGGACCCAAGCTTCCTCAAGAAGTCCCGCTTTCTCTGTTCCTTCTCATAGACGATTTAGACCATCTGCTAGCAGACTACTCTATGTTACGTCAATCTCTAAGCCAAATTTCAGCACACACTCATGCCCATTTAAGAGCATATAACTGCCAAACAAAATACTTGTCACAGAAAGTTATTATCCCAAAGGAGTTTGAGAACAATATTTTTGATGAAGAAACTCTATCTTTCCAGTATCACATGACCAGAACCTTGGAAAACCAAATGTCTATTAGCCTAATAACTGTTTCCCATTCAGAGAGCAAACACACTGACTTGGTAAACCTCTAGATTCAAAAGCTGAAAGTTGACAAATGTGGAGGTCAGGATTTAGTCAGAAGTCACATTTTGTGCTTTCATCACTGTTGCTGTTTTGTCTCAGAATCTCAAAGTTGTTTGCTATAAGTCAAACAAACCAAATTGAAAGAATGTTTGAAGTCAGTTGACTTTTATTGCATTTTGGCATTTTAGCAGTTTTAAATCTCTTTAAGTTATATAGTTTTCTTTATATCAAAGAAGAAAACACTGTATTTTTGGTTGTTTGATTTCTGCTCCTTTCAAAGGCACTTCCTTTTGCCCTCCTCCCACCCTCATTCCTAATGAAACGGTGTCGATGCATTACCATTTATCAGTCACAGAGTGCTTGGTTTGCCATTATTGATCTTTGGGAGGCCAATTGGCTGGAAGGGTGCTGTAAACTGGGTAATTTAGAACCTGCATCCTTCATTGTCACATTATGGCCGCAGAATGAAATAGTCAAAGGCTGAATGAGTGCAGCGGTTCTAAATAAAAGTAGCGAAATATAATCGAGGAGACAGACAATGGCTGTCAATAAGATCTGGGCTCATGTTGCAATCAAAGTGATTATGGGACCAGGGATGGTGCAGAGTAAAGTACTGTAAAATATCCTTGGTGAAACAAGTTGTGGATGGGTATGTGGCACAACTGCTGGCCCACATCTCAAAGGCAGGGTTGCTCAATGTGGAGATTAACAGACAAAAAAAAAAAAAAACTGTGTGAGGGCCTCATAAGACCATAAAACAGTACTTAAATATTTTAATTTCATTTGTCATAGAGGCCCCTCCCTCCCAGTCTATTACCCTGTCAACCATCCTTCATCAGCTGAATGAGTGCATTATTCATTAGCACTAATTATTTTCACATAACGTCTGCCCCGATATATTTAACCTCCACATTACACCCGGGATAATGGCCTTGTAAAATTGAATTGTGAGAAAGAAGTGGAGTTGGAGAGCTCATTTAAAGAACATAAGAGGGAAGGAGAAAAAAAAAAAAGTGAATGAGGTGCAGAAGGGTTTTCGAAGCTGCTAGGGCAAGGAGGGTTAAGAGGAGGAGTGTTAAACACTTTGGGACAAGGAGCCCCACAAGTGACAGGGACATTTGTTCTCGTCTCATTTGCACGTTAAGAGAACATCATGATGGTTCTCCGCTGGACTGACAAGATGCCTAAAAACCCGGTAGGTTGAAAGTGGCCTCGAGGTGAGGAGCTAAGATTAGTCCGTCCTGTTGAGGTCACGCCGGGGCCTACAGAGTGATGAAGATGAGCTGGGACAGCAGGAACACAAAGTGGAAAGTTGAGTCTTAATTTCATCACCTTCACTCCTGTGTTTAGTTCAGCTGTAATTCCATTTACTGAGCTTTAGTTTCTCTTCTGTTTCATTTTTTTCTTTTACATTTCACACTCTCTGCTGTCCTATAAACAACTTACCCAGACTGACGGACTGGTTGAATCACCTACTTCGCCTGAATCCCGCTGAGAAGAACCGGAAAGTCGTTTTCGAAAGACAAACTTCAAAACAAACTGTGGTCCAACGAAGACTTTGTTCTTGTTTTGATTATTCATGAGTCTGACATTCACCCGCGTGTAAAATGTAAAGCCAAGCAGGGCCTGCTGTTAATCCGGCTTCATCTCCGTGGCCTTCTGGGTGAGAGCTGTGAGCTCCTGCTAGTAGCAGAGTCGAAAAACTCACCCAAACACAAATAGACCTATACAAACACTCACATGCAATTCACATGCAATTTTACTGCGCAATTTCTTCGGTACATCAAACCCAGAGATTTTCACTTTTCTGAAGAAATTTCCTCCAAATTCAGACTGAACCCTTTCTAACTGATTCAGGATAAATATATGGGATTTTCATCATTTATTCATGAAATGATCTAACAAATTTTAAGCAGATTAACTTGTTTACTTCCAGCCAACAAAAGAAATAAACGTGTCCAGTGCAAATTCCCTTAAATGGTAAATTATTCAAAGATGTATCATAATTCATAAACTGCATTACTGTTATAAAGGACAAACATCAAGAATTATGACAATTACTTTATAAAAACTAAACTGAAATGACAGACATTCAGCCGGGGATTGATGTAAACCCACACGAGATCATTGTTTCACAAGTTAGGAAAAAAAAAATCATTGTCATGGATGCAATATTGAACTCATTTGTAATTCTGTATTAGTGCACAGACTTAGTTATATAAAGAGCTGTGAACATTAGAACTTTTTATATTTGATTATTTAGCTTGCGGTCTTCCTCGCTGACCAGTACTTCAAAAAAATATGTGGCTCTTACATACAGGAGATACAGAAAGATTATAAACCAGTAAATAAATACCAATAGTCAGACATTATGTTTTACATTTTAAAAACAGGCACAAACATTCAGACTTGTTTCACAGGTCAAGTTTGAAGCATTAAAGTCTATGTCCACAAACTTCTTCCTGGAGAGTTTTTCTAAAATAATCATTCATTTATTTGTCCTTTCAAAAATACTTAGCAAGAACAAAGCCAGTAATTAACCAGGCCTGCATGTGGCACCGTGAGACAGTAATAGAAAAATATCAAAAACAAATAAGTAGGTGTGCAGTGTGCACTTAAGGCTCACTGCTGCTGCGTTTAACGTGGTCACAGTCAAGGGTTAAATTATGACATGAGTATTTTCACATTGTTTGTTGGTTGCATACACAAAAGTCAAATGAAATAAAACACTTCAAAGTTATATGGGCTTATGAAATATTGGATTTGTAAACCCATTTTTCAAAACAAGAAAAGAAAAACTATCAAACCAGTCAAGCAGGGTGTAGCTCTGTGTTACGGCACCTTCAGCCTTTATGTCAACTTCTTAGAGAAGCTCGGAATAAAACGTATGTTAGTATTTTAATGAACCTAAATGATAACCTCAATATTTTCCCTTCCATTTAATTACAACGTTGTACATATTCCTCTGTTGTGTCATGAATCAGAAAAGGAAAAAAACATAAAATAGGATGGAATGTTTAATTTTATTCATGTTACTTTTGAGCCACTTTTTGTCTAAAAAATTCATAGAGATTAACAAAGATTTTCATATCTCACGTTGTGTTATATGTTTACCATTATGTTGGAAAAAATTAAACCTCAGAATTTGGAACTACTCCTTTATACACAGTAGTTTATAAATAAGTTGTCAGCAGATTTTATTATCTGACTAATGACAGCAACATAAATTTAGTAAATCTGATCTCAATAACACTCCTTCATTGCTTTTCCTGAGTCTCCTTTGTGTGTTTTGGCAAACAGAGACCATGTTCCTCCTCAGGCTATGAAAGTGCAAACACTCTGCTTTATGTTTCATGATGGGTAATTGCAGTTCGTTCCAACTGGGAAAAAAATATTATTCTGAAGTTTTTCTGCTCGACGCCCAAAAGGCAGCGCTTTCAGTGTATCTGTCTCTCTGACATTTGGATTTGCCTTTTAAAGAAGACATTTCACAAAACTGTTTGTTCTTGTTTTCCAGACACAACAAAAATCATTCTTCTGAACTTCAAACAGTTCAAGGAAGTGTCCAATTTATTCATCTTTAAGATTTGTTAAACAGATGACAATTGGTCAAATGATGTACTAAATCAGTCTGCAGTGTTTAGAATTAAATCACATGACTTTAAGGCGTGGTGTAGAAGCTTGAAGTGGCGATGATGATGTGTCTGTAGAAAAAGACACAAAATGCACATTAATCACATTTTTTTACATGTCATATTTTCACAATTAAGAGAATAAGTACACAGCACAGTAGGTTTTGCCATCATTTCAGTATTCTTGTGACTTGAGTATTAACGGCACACTGATTTTTAGGTTATTGAGTAGACATCCTCATCTTTGAATAATTCCTTTGAATCACAGCAGCTTTCCAATTACAGCACTCTGGTGACTCGCAATGAACCTTTATCCATTCTGCAAATGAGCGTGCTATCCCTAAATAATTTCCTCTACAAAGATGGTGCCGTGCATTATGAAATATTCAGAACTCAATTTTCCGGCTCTATCAGTCTTTGGAAAGATCCATAATTACATGATAATCCATAATGTAATTCATTTTGGGCACTTTCGGAAACCGAGTTCCAGTCGCAGCAAAAATGTTTAATGCGTGGCTGAAATTGGATAAAGTCCGCTTTGTAGTATTTTGTTGTGATTGCTTAAGGGATTATATTTTATAGTCCAGTTTTGCCTTGGTTTCGAACAATTACAGAGGTCTTCAGGGTCAATGGGCGATACTGAGATACTCTTATCAGGTTGACATAGAATTATAAAGTGCATAAAAGACCAGAGGGACAAGATTATTGTCAAAAAATCAGAAACACACACCGTCCAGTCATATGGCCGTACCATTCCACCTGTGAAGGATTTTTGTTAAAAAAACCTGAATTCTGTCACTTCACGCTGAATTCAGGTACATTATGGTGGTAAACAGCATTAGAAACTTAAAGGTGCAGAATCACATCTTATTAACCAGAAATGTGGGGTTACAGTTCAGTTATTATGAGGTGTTGCTCTGCAACAAAAGCATGTGCACAAAATATTGTCATTTCAAAGTTGAGCACGAGACGCTGATAGTGTAAGAGACGGCCGGATATTTCACCAAGACCCATTTTGTGAAAGCCCACAATCGCCCGCAGAACACTATCAACACAAGATTTCCCATTGAATCGCATGCCATAAAAAGTGAATGTGTGCTTCATATCCCCATATAGCCGGTGCGCTGTAGTTGTGGAAGTTTATAACGTATAATACAGTTTAGACAGCAGTATCTCACTGTAAGGTACTCAAGAAAGTAGGCCATAAAAAAACTGTAGCCACTGGCTTTAAAACTAATAAAGTTAAATGGAGTCGCTGACATTCTTTTGTGTAGCGTTATTGGAAGTGAGGCCCGCAACCTCGTGTCTGCGGCAAAATGTGTCAAAACAGCTGTCAGTCATTGCGACGGAGCAACTCAGCAAGATGATGGCAATGAACTGCCTGTTGAAATGTGAAGCTCCTGTGATAACAGCGCTACGCTTAAAGGCCAAAGCTGTCACAGCAAAGGCGAGACGCAAGAGTGAGAGCAGTAGGACTTGAAGAGCAGTGTTGGCAAGCAGCTGGAATCGAAACAAAATTACATCAATCTCCTTTGTTTTTGGAAGTGATTGGGATAAAAGGCAAGGGGCTATTTCATTCATACACGGGGACTTGACGTTTCACAATATATTTTTGTGATGGAAAAACTGTGATTAGGCATTCCCTTTAAAAAGAAATTATTGATGGACAAACGACAGAACAAAGCTGTTGTAAGCTGTACAAGAAATTACACTCAAAACTATTTATTTGTTCCCAGCATTAAAGGCATAAATAAGAACTTACTATATAGAAGGTTATATTCCACCACTGTAATGTCTTAGTCCTCCCTTAAGAAACAAAAAGAAAAAAACAACAACTTTATTTTGACATTTTTTTGCAGTTGTCTATAGAACATACAGCATATGGGTAAATTGACACTGATACCTTTAACTTACTGGGAATTGGTGACAAATGACTTCCCAAAGGAGGATCCACATCAGGGGCCGCTCTGTAGTTTACGGACACGATCTGACTGAAAATAAAATTACAAAAATAGACACAATGAAGTGAGTTGAATCTCTGAAAACACAGCTGGGCACAACATAAATAGATGAGGTCAACAATGAACACAAAAAAAAATATAGATTTTGGTTGAGCTCCATCTCAAACTCAATCAATTATTTTTCCACGAAGAATTATTTCCTTTATATCCAACACTGCACTTTTATGTCATTTTCTGTAGCTGTTCTTAACTGCATTATGATCAAACAGCATCTATGGAAAAATAATCTATGCAAGATAAGGGGAGGAACTCAGTGGAGGAAAACTTTTCATGTTTTGAATGGCAGCTTTTTCACAGTTTTTGTGCTTTTTCTGAGCTACAAGCAGGAAAGGCTTGCGACTCACAGCACATCAAATCTCTATGTGGAGTTCGGGGTGTCCAGTGCTGTCAGTGCTGTCAGACTTAAAGAGTCTGAAAACATTTTATAGTAGATTGTATTTACTTTCCTTACTTGATAGAAGTCAGTTTTCACGTTCTGTTTGCCAGTGGAATATCATCCACCATAAGTTCACTTTAAGTCATCTTTTACGCATAACATATTCCGTTTTTTACTGTCTTTCTTGTGTGATGACTGTTTCCAATAACATCATTCACTTCCTTTTAGAAAATAATACTCTTTTTTTGCTAGAGCAATCAAGCTCTGATGCCCCTCATTTTCTACTTGACATTTTGTGATGAATTCCCGTCTGCAAAGCATTTCCAAATGCTTTGCCCAAGGAGGTGTAATTTAAACAATATCAGTCACTGTGGTGCTGCCAGAATAAGAATTATGGTCACATGGATGCCTCATCTGACGAGCAGCAGAGGACAGACTCAAATAAGAAGAGCGCAATAATTCACTCACTGTTATTATCCACCTAATTATAACACAAGATCCGGCCATGTCGCTTTTCCCTCTTGGATTCAGAATAAATGAACAAATTGACCTCTTGTAATAGTCATGTTTCAAACGTGTACATGCCTACAATTGGTGTGGTGTGTAGTTTTCTGTTTGCCAGAGTACTGTACGTCCACAAAGCTAAAACAGTCATTAGAAGGTCATCCAAAGTTATCGTGCCCAGAGTAACCACACACTAAGTCCTCAACTTTCGCAGGCAAACTATTATAATTACCGCACCATAACAAGTTTAATTAGAGCAATCAGCTCTGAATATCCGTGCCTTCAAGGAAGCAGAGGTCTAAGTCATTCACAGAACGACTCCTTGGTCATTCTCCATTCGCTTGCAGAGGGTGTTCTCTGGGTGTCAGGGTCTTGGCAGCGCTGCTCCCCAATGAATGCTACCTCCAAGTCCGCTCCTCAGTGGGGGTCCCTAATTAGATTCTCATGTGAATTTAATGGACTCACTGCTTTTGGTCCTGCAAGAGCCTGATTTTTACAGGGATTGCATGTACTTGAAATCAATAGCTTAAAGATCATTAAGTTGTTTTTTTGGATTCTTAGGGGAATAAAATTTTTAAAAATATGTTTTTAATAAAACCTAAAAATTCAAGTTCTGAACTAGCAACTTACTTCCTTAATCAAACACCAAAAATGTGTTATGGGTTTTGGATTTCAGATGGCATCACAAAAATATATCTGATTTCTATATGATCACTGTTTTTAAAAACACACATTGCTCTTGTTACACAGACCTATTGTAAAGAGGTATTTTTTGCAATATATAAAGATTGTTTTTCCAGCTGCATGTTTTTTACAGTGAACAAGCTTATCAAATTTACAACAAAACAGACTAAGTCTTTTTTTCACACCTGGAGACGGGTTTTCAGGAAAAGCTATTTGCAAACAGATTTCAGTGCAAGACTTGCAGGTCAACAGAACTAAAGGAGGGTAGCAGGAAGCATCATCACTGACAATGCTGCACCTGACTTGTCCATTTGAACATTTGTTTACCAGGATACATAATCTTAAATTTTATGTGCATGTTTTATTTTATTTTTTGTTATTATTTTGCACATACTGATCCCTCCTTCTGAGACACCATGAAGTCATCATGGTTGTGGATGGAAAAGAGGCTGTTTAACTCAATCCCATTTCTGTCTTCTAAATCTCTCAGTGCTGTTCTAATGAGCACAGACATCTGGACCCGTCTGACGATACGAGGCTGTGATGAATATGACCCCCGTGGTCAGGCCCTGCCCTAAACCCCACCAGGGCAAATAAAGCAGTAGCGCAGGCCTGTTAAAACGCTGCGCTGGAACATAAATCGGTCCGAGCGCTTCTTAACTGTCCAATTTGCATGGCCCCTACACAAAGAGGCTAACGATGTTTTTACAAGGCAAACATGAACAAACACGAACACGGCGCCAGGCGTGCAGGTAGGCCGATCAGGTTGAACCTGTTTGTTTTACGAGGACATTTCACAGTTTGAATCTGTGGAAGACGCTTGACGGGACTCGTCCCCGAAATGGTGAAACAAAAGTTGTGGTAGACAGAGCAGGCTGCAGGAAAAGATGGAGGCTCTGAGAGGAAAGAATTAGAAAGCAAGAGAGAGAGAGAGAGGAAACGGAGCAGAAGCAAGACTGCCGATGGGAAAAGCCAAGATGAAGAGGGTGCTGAGACGGGAGTCTGGGTAGTTTTATCTAGTGGGCAGGCTGACGGTGGCGGCGGGATCTGTCTCTGTTAGAAAGAACAGAGACCTGTTATTAAAGCCATTTATCACTGGCTGAATATTCTCCCTTTAATAGGCGCTGTCGTTAATTACCCAACTTTGTCAAGACAGAGTGTCAAGGGCTCTCTGTTTTCTCACAGACGGACTCACACAGGCACTCTGATGCATACTGAAGCTTGACCATGTCATCAGGCCAGGGGACTCATTTTTATAAGTGCAGAACGAGGAATCCACACAGGCACACATCAGAGCAGGCTTTTGATGCTTTTCCAGACATGATCAAATACTCCACTCTGCTAAATGGACAGTAGGAACGTCATATTATTAGTATTTCATCTTATTTTCCTAGGGTTCTATTGTGTTTTCTGTTTTTGTGTATTTTTTAGTTTTATTTTTACTGTCCTTTATATATAAATATTATATTTGTCTAACCTAATGAAGGGACAATCTACAAATATATCAGAGAATAACGTCATGATATTTCATCTTCTCAGTTTTATATAGCATTATAAAATGCTGTATAAACATGCATGCAGAAGTCAGAATAATTAATGTTTAACTACAGTCAATACTAGACATTATGATTTGAAGCCAATATTACAAGACTGTGCATTTTTATTTTACAGAAATTAAGGATTTGGGGAATTTCTTCAAGACAAAGTTGAGGTTAATGTAAAATACTTAATGAGAGTCTGAGCTTTTAGATGCAGGAAAAAAAAAACCTACACAGGATTTTCCAGTTCAAAAATTGCAAACAGACTGCTCTTTACAAGAAGCAGGGAACTTTAATTTATATTCAGTTGATTGTATCAGCTGCCCTGTGTAAAAAAAAAAAAAGTCTCCTCCTCTCCTCCTTCCTGTCTTCATTCCTAATTAGACACTTTTGTTCTCCTTTTATAATTAGCCACTTAACTTGCAATAGAGCTGTGGCTGTAAAACATTTACAAGGATACTTGACAGGACAAGCCAGCACCTTTTGTTTAGCAATTAGTTTCTCTTTGAAAGGAACAATGCCCAACATCTGCTGGTCTTGTAGAGCTCAGTGAAAGAGGGAGGCAAACAGAGGCAGCAGTACGGATTGTACCGCAAGGACTTGCCACAAGGACTGTGAAGTTTATAGTCTGGAGAAGATGATCTGGAAATGGAAAAAACAAAAACAAAGCAGCTCTGATGGATATGATGATAATGGAGTAAGAGAGGGATGTGTAATAGGAACTTGTTTTTCACATTCCATTGATTAAAAAGTGGCGTGGCGTAAGCGCAGATTCCCATGTGAACAATGCAGCAGAGTTTCAGCATGTGTCCCAGTATGGCTTCTTTTAGTGGCCAGTCATTTACATTGTAGTTATCCAAAGACAGAAGCAAAGAGAGGCAGAATGATCATTGATCCCTTTGGCCTGATTAGCTCACCAATGTGCAGTCAAGGCGAACTAATCAGATGCATTGATCATGGATTACTTTTTAACGCTTCAACAGGCAATATTATGATTTTAATTTTTTTTCACATCCCACTTATCCCAGTTATCTTCTGGGACGCAATGACAGAAGTTTGGGAATTTGTTTCTGCACTTACTTTTAAACTTTTTAAATCATTGATCACACCGTCCTAACTTCAATCAAATTCTTTATTTCTTTAAATTTTCTCTGAATTGTTGTACAGCAGCTTATTTTTGATTTGCAAGATTTATTTCACGTTCTGCTTGTTTTACAGTTTGTCCAGAAGAGGTTGCTGTGTTCACTGAAATTCACAGGGAGTAAATGCTGAGGTCCGATTCTTACGCTGACTGATATTTATTAAATAAATGAAGTATGTTTGAAGTGGAAGCTCAATTTATATCTTTTCATTGCAAGCACATAAAATCTCCAAATAAATATGAATTGGACAATCACATAACATTTCAATGTCTTACATTAAATTGATCAGTGCTGGTTTTTTCTGCCCTGCACAGAAACTGTAATCCGAGTAAAGAATTGGTATATGGTAATAATAATATAATTATGGTAATGTTTTTATTAATACTGTTCACTGTGCAATTTCTCCTCATTGAACACATGCTAATTGATTATAGATGTAGTGTTCCTCATTGACAGTAGGGGGCAGAATCCATTCATTGATTTGAGTGCCATTATGTGAAAGCCATGTAATTGTGTTGTGAGGCCTATTAACACACACTTAAACCTGTCTTTGGAGAGCACACTTAAATGTGTTTATCTTGTTTCAAAAAGCAGCGATGACTGTACAAAATGTGACTTTTCAGAGAGATATGAAGAAGAGAGAGTTCTTCAAAGTGGAATTTCTGTCTGCCCATTTGCACCAAAATCTAAAAAAAGAAAAGAAAAGAAAACAACAACAAAAAAACA